GCCGTCAACTACCCCGGTCTTGAGTCCCACCCCCACCGTCACATTGCCAAGAAGCAGCACCGCAACGGCATGGGTGGTGGCATGCTCTCCTTCCGCATCCAGGGCGGACACGCTGCCGCCGAGCGCTTCTGCCAGTTCACAAAGATCTTCACCCTTGCCGAGAGCTTGGGTGGTGTCGAGTCTCTGGTTGAGGTCCCCAGCAGCATGACCCACGCCGGTATCCCCAAGGATCAGCGCGAGGCTGTTGGTGTCTTCGACGACCTTGTCCGCATCAGCTGCGGTGTCGAGGACGCTGTGGATCTCAAGAACGACGTCCTCCAGGCTCTCGAGAAGGCCGTGTCGGCATCAAAGAACGGCGTCAACGGAGTCAATGGCAACGGCGTCAACGGACAATGAAAATGGACCAAAAAAAACGGGGCGATGATATAAAATGATAGAATTTTGGCATATTTGTGATGACATGTGATGAGATTTTGCTTCAATGACACAAGTTAGAAAGGGGCAGGAGACGAATAACCATGGGCCTCGAGTCGTCGTTCATAGCGACAGGAAAAAGGTTTTGACTTTCATATCAGATGGCATGGATTGCTTGACTATAGCAAGCTATTACTATTCAACGCTTTGAGTCTTCTATGTTTGCATAATGAGAAATCAAGAACTTGCCGTGAGGAACCCATCTACATGTTCTCCATTTCCATCATGTGACGACCTCCTCATTCTCCATCGACTTGTCGTTTATTCATTAGACATAAAAAGGTTTTCCGTAAACTCATTGGCCATGCTGCTGCCAGCGGTCCACTCGTTCCTCCGGTGGTGGATTTCGTTCATGCCCTGGCAGGCCGTCTCGGCGATGTAGTGCAGCTCATCGAGGGTATTGGAGTTGCAATTAGGGAATATGCCGTCGATGCTGCGATGCCACTCGGATGTGGTGTTTGCCACGGCCGTCTGGTATGCGTTTGTGTCGTGCTCGGTGACCCGCGGCGCACGGCTCCGCGGGATGAGCTGGTTGAGGAGGTTGTCGTGCTTCGAGTCACGGGGGAGGTATTCAACCGGGTCTCCGTTGGACATGTTCGGCTGCCGGATACCCATGGTGACCTCTACAAAGCGTTGAGAGATGCTTCTGCCCAAGCCACAGGGATCAACGAGGTCGAAATCGGGGTTTGGGGGGACGTCTTCCCTCAGGTAGTGGTCATACGCCAGAAACGACGCCCGGCAAATGCGCAAGTGTGTTGCAGCCGATCTCAAAGCCATCGCAATCCATTGGCAATCCTCACCAGGGCGCTGGTTTGGCATCCCTACCCAGAGCACCTTTGTCGAGTCCTCGTTCCAGTCTTGTGATTGTTCCGCCTTCAGATACACCTCGTTCAGGTAGAGCTCCTGAAGCGTCGACCCAAAGTTCTCTCCCACCTGAACCAAGACCTCGGGAGACACCTCAACTCGCTTCAGCTCGAGGCAAGTCAAGTTGGACAGAATGACATGCGGTGCGGGCAGCGCCCGCGCTCGCCACTCCTCCACGGGCATCTGCCAGGCCTTGGTCTGTTTGAGGCCTCGGGGAGGGCGGTCGTCGTGGTCCATTCCTATCAGGCACAGGCTCTTGAGGTATTCTGCGTTCTCTACCAAGTTCCAGAGGCAGGATCCAAATAGTCCAACTCGTTGGGGTTCATTTTCGTGTCTTCGTAAAGTCAAAACGAGGTGTTCCAGTACCTCCAACACCCCCATGATATTCATCACGTCGCTAGGGTTTAACCACAGGTGACATATTGCGATATCCGTCACATTTTCCAATACCAAGGTGTTTAACTTTGCCGAATCCTCCTCGGGACGCTGAGCAAATGCCTTGAGCGTGTTGGCGAGGATCATGGTGGCGGCGTTGCAGTGTCGGCCGACAAGCTGGAAGGGCAGGTTTAACCGCAGTCGATCGATGTCTCGGCAATTGAACAGGAGGTCTTCGACTGTGCGGAAGTAATCTACTTCTGTAAATGATGTCTCGTTCATGCAGTACTTTTTGTGCAACGTGCGACAAAAGTCGGTCATCGAGGGGACTCGGGCGAAGACGGTATCGAGGAACTCTACTTCTACTATTAATATATCCACGTTAGCTATCATTCAGATTTGGGAATGGTACAGTTATGTAGAGTACGCACAGTCATCCCGCAAGACCATGAGGTCGATATATAAGCTCTTGCAGTGGTATCCAATCGTCTGCAGCGCATCGATCCGCGGATGCGCCTCGCCACTCGTCTTGCTCAATCGTGAAAACTCAAGGTCAAGTGTGCGCAAGACGAAGGGCTTGAGTATCTGGTCAAACACTCGACAGACAAGGCGCAGCGGGAGGACGCTGTTCTTGGGGCCGCGGGCGACACATTGCTGGAGGATCGCGTCGACGAGCTCGCGCGGGAGCTGGTCCATGGCGACGAGGCCGGCGTTGGCGGATGGAAAGGGAGGTCAACGGCAATCGCAGTGCATCGGGGCTACCGGCGTGGCATCGATCAATCCCGGCGGGCTATCGCAGTGTTGTGGTTCGATGGTGATGGTGTTGACGGAGTGAAGCGGCCAGAGGCGGTTGGAGTTGGCTGATGGACGGGATGATGGGATGTGGTGTTGATAAGCGGCGTTGATTACTGGGCCTTTCGGGGCCGCACAGTGGAATTCCAGCGGCAGCTTGTCATATGCACCTAGGGACCAGGCCCACTGTACCGAATCCACCCCCACTGGAATCCGGATCGACATGACGCCGCCTACCCTAGAGGTCGGATGTGTGGTCCTTCATGACGGGTAAGTATATGACGTTCATAAATACAATCATCACGAGCGTGTGCTTAAACTGGGTGGTATGGATGTTATTGAACTTTAATCTGAGGTGTCCGTGTATGCTATGTTAAACTAAGATACGGTTATTTTCGCTGTGATCCAGTGTCGTGGTTGCACATGGGTTAAGCAACAGATGCCGTCCTTGACGCGAAATTAACTATTCCGTTATTCCACCAAGCAACAGAGCAAAAATTTCCGACTTATTAAACGGGACCAATGTGTTGTTTGTATTATCTACACGTCTACCAGATTAAATCAGAAGCAAGCAATAGGTCCAACGGGAAAAAGCCAAGTGATGCAACTGACGGTATGTTTGGAGACTGCCAATGTAGTCAGCGAACTCGTGATGCATAATTAGTACACCATGCTGTGATCTAATACTTAAACATATTTCATAGGCTGATAGATGACGGCTTCTGTGAAATAAGTCTAATGATTTTCTACAAAAATATATTCTATAGGAACTGTCAAAGCAGGCACTCCAGCACTTAGCGACGGAGCGCATCAGCACCAATCGGAACTAGAAAATGTATTCAATGGACGCATTGGACGCGAATCAGAAAGTCAGTTTGTTTACATCACAGCTGTCTGCCAGCTGCAAACATTTACTAGTCGCACTCTGTGCGGTGAACAGAGTACCTCCACGCTCGCTCTACCTCATCTCCTCACGAACAACAGCCAGGACAGAACAACAACTTGACAAGAACCTTTGTTCTAGACACCACACGCACGCCGAAAACTCGAAGGTCACACTTCTTGAAAGCGAACCAGAATGACCCGCCTTGGAATTCAGTCTCTTGTTCTGGGCGTGGCGTGGCTCCATGCCGCCCTTGCCCTCCAGTCCTTCTCGCAGGGTTGCCAGCCCATGGATGCTCAGTTTTACAGCGAGGATGCGGTAGGCTTCTACTGCTTTCCAGAGGACTCCTCGCTCACTTTCAACTACACGTATTCTCTGTAGGCCGTCCCAATTCGACATGCTTCGATGCACTACTTACACAGGCCTAGGATCGAACTCCGATACTGCGTTGGAAATAATGCCGGCTCTCTCATCGGCTACGACGAGTATGTTTCTAACCTGCCATGCATGTAGGTACTGACCTTAGAAGCGGCAACTACCAAGACACCTGTGAGGGCTGCATACTCCAGAGTGTCCGAAGCAATGGATACCGAACTTGCTACCTCAAATGCAACTGCCACGACATGGACAAGCAACTCAAGGAGACGATTCTTGATCTGAGCAAGTAGCCTACTTACCCTACAGACCAACGCGCACTGACATTCGTAGACAACGTCCTTTTCAATGATAACGGTCGCCTCGGCTGCTTTGGACACCGCGGAACCAAGGATATGGCTTTCCCTGAGTGCCACAAGAACATCGAATGCTCAACCGGAGCGCCAAGATTGACGCCTAGGGCTGTGCCTACACGAGGCTCAATCTGATGCGACTTGGCTTTGCGGGTTGCCAAGCCGCACAATCTCACAGGGAATGGAGGGACGCATCTGATGATTGGGAAAGAAGCAAGTTCCTCCTCTGTGGAGAAGAACGCGACAGCAAGGCTAGGCTCTTGCGGGATAGGGCAGTGGATGATTGTCGACGATAGGAAATTAAGAAGAAGAATGTAAAGGAGCTCTCTGCGGCAACTATGTGCCGACAGTGGAAGTGTGCCCTAGTCGAGGGAGGAATATTGGCCGTCAAGACATAGGTCGACGACAGCGGCCGGCAGGTTTTGCCGAGCCACCAGGGGAATGTAAATAAATTACATCACCATTAAACCGTTCGGCCCACTAGGCACACGTACGCCTCTGTGTCTGGGTTGCGCCTCCGGCAGGTCGGCACAAGGCACGGCTGAGTTTGCGGACTACACGCGAGCGCTGATGACGGTTATTCGTGTGCAAATTCGTGGACGGCACTCGGCATCGTCTTAATTAGTGCGGCGCAATTCGCATTGACCGGCGCAAGTGACAATCTGCACACTGTTTGTTTGTAGCGGTGCATAAGGAAGTATCACGAGAAGTGGCAGCCAGGTCGCGCTGGCTGGTTCTGGGAACACAGCTAGCGCAAGGGTGGCCGTCGAGCCACCGCTGGTCGATCATAGATAGATGCTAGGGAGATAGGCAGATGACTCTTCCCTACCTATCGCACGCATGGTAAGCAAAAAGAAAAGATAAAGAAAGCAAAAAGTTTGCATTGGCAAGACAGGGGTTCGAACCCTGGCATCTCTCGATATAATGGTTCCCATATGAATAGGAATAGAATTCAATTTTCTTAAACATTACGCCTTAGACCACTCGGCCACCTTGCCATTGGTGTTCTCTCGGGAAGCAGTATTACGCCTCATGCACCCTCGTAGGGTTAATGAATAAACAAACAAATAATTCACAAGATCAGGATTCAAACCCTGGCATCTCTTGATATGCCAGTTTTCAATCTAAAATTGGAATTAATTCAGTTTTCTCAATCGGACCACCTTTGGCCGTTCACAAGGGGAAACTGAACCCCAGGGCGGCAAAGGGCAAGCTAGGCCATGGCTATCAGAACTGTTCGAATCACCATGACGATTGCAACATGCACCAGGCGGAAGGGAGGCTGGCACAGGGCAACCCGGTGCATGAGGACCGGCTTGGCTTGGTCTGAAGATGTACCAATGCACGCGGTTCTTCGTCGCGTGCGGGGCACAAATTGCCATGTGTGATTGGTGGCAGCTACCGGAAGCTCGATGCACAAGCTCCGCGACAGCTTCCGTCTGATGATAGACGAGACCAGTTTCAACTTTCAAGCTCCAGGTAGAACGAATGGTTCTGGGAGGAGCCATACCCATGTTTGGCCGGACCGGGGGGGCCCAATTGATGGTCCGCCAATAATCACCGGCGATAGCGGGGGAAGAGATGAACGAGGGGAGTGGCAATCATTTGGAAATGGGCAGGTAAAAAGGTTGGGACGATGGAAAAAAAAATCCCTAGAAATTGGATGGGGCCGAGAGATGGGAGGGGGCCATTTGTCCTGGGCTTGTCGCACAAAATGTCCGATATCCCTTCAGCAGCGAAATGCTATTTGATTAGCTCGTTTCCTGTCACAATCCTGTGTGGCAGTAGACCCGTTACGCGTTGAGTAGGCAACATGCCAGGGGAGATAAGAGCAAGTGTTTCGACTCCTAGTCGATAATGATCTGAGGTGCTGGAGCGGGCGAGACGGCCTTTGGACTGAATGTGCTTGAATAAGATGAGATGCCCAACCTGGCCAGGCGGTCCGGGGCCCATGATTCATCGGCGCCCTCCCTACCTCAAGCTACCTGTTGACCCTTGGACTGCTGAAGTCAGGCTAAATTCTTGGCGGGCGGGCGGGCTCGATGGGCCTGGGCCATGATAATGCCAGATGGATGGTTTTGTCCGGGCTTGCAGAGGCAAAATGCCTCTTTCCTCGTTCCCACTCTCCGGTGGTGCCGGAATCCCGTGGGCGCGGCAGCTCACCTGGAGCCCCAGCCTCGCATCAAGAGCTCGATGACGCTGCGGGGCGCGCATGCGCTGTACGAAGTCCAGATAGGCATCGCTTACAAGACCAGGGCCAACCAACGATGGAGGCTCGTGGCGCAACGAGACAGCGCGGTCGGTTGGAGCATTGGGCCTTGGCCAGCTGGAAGTTGACGGCCGCTCGTCTATTGTCCTCCGTCTCGGGTCATGAAGCAATCCGGGTGGCCGCCGAGATGGTCCGTGTCCAGTATTAGAGCTACAGAGTAATAGTAGCGAGTGACATGGGAAAGTCAATGCCATTGGCCCGCTGACAGATCGGCTCTCTGTGCCATAGCATGGAGCTGTCGGTGTCGTTCGCACGGGTACGTGACGTATTTGCAGGGCTAGGCTGGGCCTTTTGGAGGTGGAAGATAGGCGGACCAGGGGACGAGGGTGACGATTACGAAGAACGGAGGGCTAGCGTGATGCCGAGACTTTGCAGCCCATGCGTTGCATTTCTTGGCATTGCGTTGCGCTATTGTCGCCAGCTTGGTTGCTCCCCAGCCATCTTGCAGACTTGCAGACTGGCACGACGCCCCTGCGCTGCAGGTTAGCTCGTGTTGCCAGATCTCCAACCTTGGGCGTGGTGAACTGCAGGTGGTGACGACGACCGAGATGACGTTGGTTGGGGCGAGCAAGAGGGTGTGTGGTACCTGGGCTTGTTGCGACTGGGCATGTACGCGGAACAAATCGCCTGGGCAGCGACAGTATTTGGCTGAAAGCGGGCGGGTAGTATGAGCGGCGTGGGTACCTGGATGCGTGGATACGTGGGAGTGTGGGACAGTGGGCGGGCCAGTGGACCAGTGGCCCGGGGATCGATGAGGTCGGAGGGAGCTGGTGTGCGTCGCAGCGTCCGAACGGGTCTAGCTGCGTCTGGTCTTGGTCTCGGTCCTGGGTCTTAGTGTGGGAGTGCGTGTGCATCGTACCTTTTTCCCCCGGTTGGGACTGCGCGAGTGGTGTTGATTCTGCTGCGAAGCGGCGAATGCGCGAGCAGGTGGGTGCGTGCCGGCCGATTCGACCGGCCGGGCCTGGAAGCATCGTCCGTCACAGCGTTAATCAAACCGAGGCCGGCCACTTGCCCAGAGCCTACTGCGTAGTAGTGGCCGCATTGGACCGTGGTTTCCTTTTCCGCTGTCTCGCTCATAAAGCCCATAGCTCCCGCCCTTGGCCCTGAATCCCCTCGCCTTGTTCCTTCCCCGTTTGCGTCTCCCTCCAAGCTCCAAACGTCCAGGCCGCGCCTACAAAACACCCATTCCACCCCAGCCAGGCAATCACTCCACCACAACAACAACAACAACACAACATTGCCAGTACCATCATACCACCAACACACCGCCAGCAGCTTTCTACCTCGGACAGCAGAGCTCTAGCACCAACTTTTACCTCGCCCTCTCTTTACATCTTGGGAACCTCTCTCGCCTCGCGCCCTTTCTCCAAAATGCGCTTCTCACTTGCTCTGCTCACCGTTTCCGCTGCGGCGGTTTCGGCCCAGGTCGCGAACTACACCAGCTCGCTCAACATGACCATTGACCCCGGCACCGTGACAACCACGGAGCGAGGTATGTGCTACCGCAACCAGGAGCGAAATGCGCATCTCGCTGACTTTTTGACACAGCCCAGTGGTGCCAGGCTCAGACCAACACCTGTGAAACTCTTTGCGACAACAACACGGACGAGAACGCTTGTACCTTGGTAAGTTGATGATCCTGTCCCCTGCACCGCCTCGAGGTTCTGACAATCGATTCCTCCAGACCGACCTGTCGTGGGAATGCACGTGCGCCTCCAACAGCTCGATGCCCGGCCTGCAGTACTACACTCAGACCGTTCCGACCTTTATCTGCGAGGAACTGTACTCGCAGTGCATCACCACCAATGCCGGCAGCTCTAAGCTCCAGAAGGAATGCACCAAGAACATCCAGGACCTCTGCGCTACCCAGGGCCCACCTGATGCCGACTCGAGTAGCAGCTCGACCGAGTCCGAAACCGCCACTGCTTCCGCTTCCGGTTCTGCCACCAAGTCGGCATCCAGCGCCGAGGCAACTGCGGACTCGGTGACCTCGACCAGCTCCGATGGCTTCGCTGCCCCTACCATGGCGCCAGCAGGCAAGGGTGCTGCCGCCGCGGTTGCCATTGGCATGCTCGCTTACCTGGTTTAACGTCTGCGGCGTTCGGTGGACCGCGATTGGCAACGCCAGCGTAATCCCAGCATCGCCACGTGCTGGTGGATGCTTCGTCAACATGGAGACTCTGGTCACCGCGGTGCCCCAGTTCGCTTCTCTGTTACCATTTTTGTTATCGAGCACCGCTTTTTTCGACATGCAACACTATACCTTTGATGAGTTGAAGACCCGACGATAGGAACAAGGCCTGGCTTCTTTGGAGGTTTTGGCGAGGAATGAAATGCCTTGGTGGTTTGGCTGATTGATTGACGGATTGAATGCTTCATGCTGCGACTTTTGCATTATTTGTGTTTATGCTGCTATCGAGGCAGTGATTGGAGGAGGGCGTAATGCGTTATTCGGCATCTTTGTTTTTTTATTATTCCCAAACCAATCATAGCAAGAGGCGAAGGGGAGTAGGAAAACTTTATTGAACAAAGAATTACTTGGCACTATTTATTTGACAACTGTGATTCCATCGTAGGCGATTAGATCTCAATATTCTCTAAAGATCAACAATGAAATGTTGTGCATAGGTATTCGAAGACCGGCGCATGAAGTTCGACAACTTGTGAATGCATAGCACATGTTCAGCGAGCAACACAGGACGATTAGGTGACTAAAGGTATCTTTACCGACGAGATGCTTGACAAGCACTCCGACCTTCGGGAACTCAAGGCCGCCTTTAAAGAGGAGCCAACGTACAACCTTTAGATGCTGTGTCCCGATTTTCTGAAGCTGGCGCCGAAGAGCTTAGGTTGGACTACGGCACTTGGATCTTAGGTGATATATCACATCTTTTCGCTCATGCAAATCCGCCGCACGATGCGCACCGTGACCCAGCTGCCAGATGAAACAAAGGTGTTTCAATATTCGATAAATTTTAGGGGAAGCTCCTACAACGCCGCGATTGCTTACCTTGGGTAGTTGATCGGCCGCAGATCGTACTGTGTGGAGGCCTGCTTAGACATTAAAGTTGTCAAACTTCCTCCTCCAGCCTTCGTACGTGTGTGCATGTATGGTGTGTGCGTGTTGGTGTTCATGCATAGGTGTAAGTGTTTGTCTATTTTGGCGTGCTAACAAAGACTTCTGGTTATGCGTTCCTCTGAGTTTCAAAGTCCGAGCGAACAAGTGTTGAGTTTCTCAGGAACAAACAACACAGATAACAGAGTGACAATGGCGACATTAACAATTCGCCATGTTCGCCGCGAGTTCCATAACCTATTTTTTCTATAAGTAAGATAAGTTTCTAGCCAAATGAATCCAATTATTATCCTCAGACAACTGAACCATCTACGACCATCTTCTTACACAAAATCACAACTTCACTATTTTCAAAATGTCACAAGACCAAAAGAAATCAGGTTCTCGCAAGAGGTCACGGAAGACCCAGTCTTCCTCCCCGGTGTCCAGCTCAAAGCCCGCCTCGAAACGACTTGAAATTGGCGCCAAGGATGAGGCCGATGACCCAATGTGTCCACCTCGTGTCAGTTTTGGCGTCGAAATAGAACTTATGATCGGCGAATACGTTGGGCAGGACCCCGACTTGCAGATCAATGGAGCCCCCCTACCACCTCAGTCCGATGGTGGAGATGATACCCTTCTGAAGGTTTCAACCCTTCTCCAAAGGTATAAGA